CACATACTTATACATACATATATACATACGCAGACATACATATACATATGTTACATATACATATAAATACATACATACACACACATCGGCCTTCTTCACTCACCTAAGTGTATGATTTCATAACAAAATACACCCCCACGGTACTCTTTAAACAGCTTTCATGCTCGATTTTTCCTCGTCTCGCCTAAGGTTGCTGAGGCCATGTCTGCGCAACATTTATTGAATTAAGCAAGGTCCTCTCGGCACTAATGTGGATATTGAACCTTGTCCGTACAGTATATTTTGTTAACGATGCAAGGTTCATGTGTACTGTTTAAGTTGCTGTAAGAGGAGATATGGGTTTTTTGAAAATTTTGAAAATTCGAAGCGAGATTCCTGTAAAAGTGTTGATATGAATATGTTTATCGATAATGCGACATGTTTATTCATGAAAGATAATGAGAATACTGGCACTATCATTAATATCATGTACACATTATCATAAATGTTTATATTATGTTATCATCACCACAATATCCTATCGCCTTCACCATCAAAATGACTCCATTTCTATAAATATCATTACAATTAACAATATCATTTTAACAACCACATCATTGCATCATCTTCACCAACATTTTTCATATTCTACCACTATCAATAATATTCTAGCACCTTCACCATCTCACAATCACTAGCATTCTATAATTTACGAATTGTATGTAACCATCATTATATAACCACGACCACATTTTCTAACAGTCTATAACTACCACAGTTACCATTCCATAACCACGACCACACTTACCAACATTCTCTAACCACCATGGCAGTTACTAAACACCATTACCATTTCCAGTTATTACCCCTACTTCGGCAAGACCATGATTCTGGAGATGTTGGCAAGCAGCGTCATTATTATTGCTATGTGTGGTGTCCTCGCCTTCTCCTACAACAGGTTAGGAAGGTGAGGTTGTCTCCCCTTATTAAAGAGGTTTCCTTTTATGTCTTATAAGGTTGTCTCGTCTTATTAAAGAGGTTTTCTCTTGTGTCTTATAAGAGTCGATAATTAAGGATGTGGAAGACTTTCGTACTTCATATAATTTAAGTTTTTTTTTTTTTGGCGATGAGCATTGGCAAGTATGGATTTGCTTTTTGTTTAATTATTATGATTATTATCATCATTATTATGTTTAAGGTCTCGTCGGCGTGATGATAGTTCCTCGGCATTTCCTTGGAGACGCGGAAGCAGATCGCGTGAGGTAAGACATTTATATCGAAAAGCCTTTTATCCCGTCTTATTTTCCGCTGATAAGAGCATATTCTATCCTTATGAAACAAGCAACCCTTATTTTATCCCATTCATTAAACTGTTTTACTGTTTCTCAAATCTTTTTCTTTACTTTTTTTTACGAGGAAGTATGTTAGAATTAAATCTCGGGTACTTAACAGGGGAGAAGATGCCTCCCTCTATTAAGAAGAATGAAACTTTAAACTTTCTTGGCCTGAGATTCACGTGTGCTTGCTTGATGGGATATGGTAACAACAACAGCAACAACAACAACAACAACAACAATAATCGTTTGTTTTTTTTAATTCTCATACACCTTGCATATTTACCCCCCAGTGTCGCTTGCTTAGACGCATCTCACTTTCTGATATACAAATTTACGTAACTGGACGGCATAGCCAGGTGGTAGCAGCAAAATCTTTTGTTATGAAACTGGGCTCTATTTTATCATAAATCGCTACAATATGATGTGTAACGAAATTTGGAATAGGTGTTTAAAATACTGACTTCGCATTTAATTATGAAGCAGACAGATCAAAATAACATAAAATCTTATTCTTTGGTTACGTTCCATATATATATTTTTTTTAAATAAACCTCTCAAACTACACTATGGAACTATAGTGTAGTTTCATAACAGAAATTACAACGCACAAATGCACACACTGTATGCATACATTATTCATTTTTGTCTACAGTCTCCAGCATCGGATACACCTCCAACTTACGATGATGTGGTGGACAAGTTGCCGTCCTATCAAGATGCCCTTAAAATGAGCCCGAAGGTAAAATATATCTATAATTTCACGCGTATATATGTTTGTATATTTTATTTATTTATTTTTTATTTTTTCTAAAAGAGAGACGAAGTTCTAATTAGCATTCAGACAAAGATTTGGACACCTATTTACACATAGCAGTCAATGTAACATGTATTTTTGTCATGATCTGTATCTTGCCCCTTCAGGCGGACGACAACGAAGGAATAACAAACTTTGCCTTTGAGATGGAACTTTCCCCCGCCCCTCCCCCTCCTTACGAGGAAAGCATGCAACAGAAAACGGAGGAGGAGGAGAACATGCCACAGAAAACGAAGAAGGAGAAGAACATGCCACAGAAAACGGAGGAGGAGGAGAGCGTGCAACAGAAAACGGAGGAGGGAGCAACCGTCACAGAAAACGGGAGAAACGCCCAGCCATTCACGGGAAACCCTGAAGGAGATTCGCCTGC